CTACATTAATAATGTAATAATAACAAATAGTTTTAACACATCAAAATACATATAAGCTCAGTTTATATAGTATCTAATACAGTTATACCTATACATTATAAACAATACATAATTAACAACTAATATAGAAAATAGGTATAAATATATATGATTTGGCATCGAATTTAAAGTATTATTTGAACAACAATTCTTTTTGCAGCAATGAAGATGTCAAAGCATATTTGTTCAAAAATTCTTCTGGATTTAAAACTATATCTTTTTCACATGATATTAGCATGAGACTTTTCAAGTCTATTTTGCATCATAGTAGATCTAAGTCGAGTTTTAACAAGTTTTACTTTAGAGAACGATCTCTCACTTGAAGCAGATGTTGTAGGAATAGTGCATAAGTACTTATATACCACAAAAAGGTTTGGGAATGCTGCAACTAAATTATAAGAACAAAGCATTTTAAGTATTTCTATTGTTGAAAGTTTTTTTTTAGTTTCTTCTTTACTGTCTATTTCATTAGATGAGTCAGAATCATGTTTAGTTTCATTTTCGCTATCAATAATCAGATCGTTATTTGAGTTAATACTGGAAAAATGTATACCATTGTATAATAATTTTATGTAATTTTATGTGATATTAATTATTAGTAGCGAGCATAGGCGTAACTAGGTATTTAAATTAGGAGGAGGCTGAATTTCTTAACATTATTTTACGGAAAAATAAGGTATGGCAGCATAACTGCCCTAACACAGTTTTAAGATTTAATTTACATGAATTATCTCGACACATGATAAGATCAATTAAAACATTATAAATTTGCATAATATAATATGTATGATTAAGATTGAGTAATAATTAATAATTCATAAAAATTCTTTGTGTAATATAAATTTATATTTATAAGTACCTAAAATGATAATACACTTATTAATATACAACTCATAATTTTCATATAATAACAGTAGGTAAACAATTACAAGAACACAAAAAATATGTGCAATATAATAAAATATATTTTTATGATTATTGTGATGATATTACAGATATATACTTCTATTCTCCAAAACAAATTCATTAAAATATTCTATGACCTAATAATATTTGTAATATCCCTTTCAATATACAAGATTACCACTACTAAAGGTTATATCAGAATTTTGAATACTATTCTTAGTAACAGTATTAGTAACAGTCATATTAGGTAACACCAGGCAAGAAATTATACAAACTACATCTGAATTGTTGGAAGCTAGTAAAAAGATGGGCCTATGCGTAAATCAAGAGAAGACTAAGTTTATGGTTCTCTCCAGAAGCAACGAAAATCAGCATAACTTACAAGTAGGTAATCTAACTTTCGAAAAAGTGGAAAACTTCAAATACCTAGGAGTGAACATAAATAGTAAAAACGACATGCACCAAGAAATAAGTGAAAGAATAGCTAGTGGGAACCGATGCTATCACAGTATAAGTAAGCTACTAAAATCCAAATTACTGTCAAGAAAATCACAAACTTTACTCTATACAAGCTATCTGAGACCAGTAATCACATATGCATGTGAGACATGGTCCTCAACGAAAGGTGATGACAACAGATTGGCAATATTCGAACGAAAGGTACTTAGAAACATTTTTGGCCCAATATATAATACAGAGTTAGGAATTTTTGAGAGAAGAAAGAATGAAGATCTAAACAGACTATTTTTAAAACCCAATATTACGACGTATATAAAAAATTAAAAGAATGGAATGATTTGGACATGTATGGAGAGCTGATAATGACATAATAAAAAAAGTACTAACGGAGACCATACAAAAAAAAAGACCAATAGGCAGACCACGAACGAGGTGGAAAGATGCGGTAGAAAAAGATATCAATATGCTGAGAAGAAATATGACTGTTGATCTGGCATTGGACAGGGAAAGATGGAGAGAATTGCTTGTGGCAGTTCAGGTCCTACAGGGACCGTTAAGCTAAGGAAGAAGAAAATTCTTAGTAACAGTAATTTCAGTTTCCAATCATACAAAAATATTAATAGCTAACAATTTTTAAATAAAAAAAAAAAAATGAGTAGCTACAATATATTAAAATATTGATATGGAAATATTTGTATATTTTAATTTTCAATTTCGTATAATTTTCAAATAATACAATAAATAACCCATCTCATAATGTTGCATGAATGGAAAACTTTCTTTGAATTGTAATTTAAAAAAATTACTCGTATCAACACATGTAATATTTAAGCTTTCAGATAAAAATCTAGTTTTCATGCTGGTAATCATTGCATCAAGAATACAATGTATTAATTTTCCAGCAATCTTGGACCTATATATTTAAAGAAAAGTTAGTTAACCCTATACTAACCTAACAATACTATTATCGTGTATTTTTGTCTATTATTATACATAACTGAGTAATATAACAATTTGTTTCATAGTACCAGGAGTTTAAATAAATCATTTTTATTTTGCATATTCAACTTTTTCCCCCCATATAAGTGAATACTTTGTTATATTTGTATTTTAAGTACATATATTATTAAAAAAGAACAAAAAGCAATACGTGACAGATATGATTTGTTTACATAGGTACTATATTATAGTACTTAAAGAAGAAATATAAAAAAAATAAAGAATAATAATAATTAATAATAAAAAAATTTTTAATTTTTGGTTTTTAATGAAAAGTAAAATATTTCTAAGAGCATATTTTTAGAGCATGAAGTTCAAGTCCAAGCCCTAATAATAAACGTTATAATGTCAGATTAGGGAATTGATTGTATTGTAAAATATTTTAAATTTGACGGGAAAACGTATTTTAAGCGAATACTTGGAGTACATTTTATATTAAATATTACGTATTGGTATTAAGATAAATTAATTTATGCCGTACATATATATATATATATATTTTGTTCTGAATAAAAATTAATTTTTTATTAAATCATAATAATATATAAAAATATGTGCAATGGATGTACTAGGGAAAAAAACTGTGATGTCCTGAAAAATGTTTGCAAACAATAGACAAAAAGTGAACACAAGGGAAAAATATATCTACTCATACCATAGAGAGAAATTGGAATTTCTACATGGTCGTTGGGAAGGTTCTATCACCACAAAGTTGTATCATCAAAATTATAAATTTTAATTTAAAATGATTCTTTTTTTTTTCATAATTTTAATTATAAATGTTAATAAATGCCTACATAAAAATACATCTTAGAATTTAAAAGGGTAGAGATGAACTTACAAGCCCTGTCACGGTCGCCATGTATGACCTTTTGTCCTTTTTAGGTACTTAACCGATGAGCTGTTAGCCGAGTCACGTGAAAGAATGACGGAACTCGCAGGATTTAATATACAGAAATGGTATGATTATAATAATAATATAAAAACAACGAGAGGTTAGCCGACAGATGAATGTTGACGTTGTTGCTGGAACTGAATACTAACCTAAGCCACTCAGGGCCTGCGCCGTATTCAGCCCGCCGTCCTTGGTTGATTGAACGCAGTTCTTTGAGGTCCTTGGTGGATCGGAAAGGTGTTAAATAAAACGTATTATTATTGTTCAATCGTAAAGAAAATACGTTAAGTTTATTAAAAATAACCACTTATCATTTATAGAAAATAACCGAACAGATCGTGATGTAAGTTTAGAGCACATAGTTACTCTCGTGTAAAGAGTGACAGAGTGATCCGTTGGCTTTCAACGGTGGCCGGCGCTGCGTATCGGCTGTAAAGGTGTCCCACCACGGATGATCGATCGATGACCGATAGAGAGGGTGATAAATGGAATTATTTGTGTATCATTATTAGGAAGCCTGAAATTCCGTGACGTTACACTTACACTTCCCTTCCCCAACTAACAAATTATAGTGTGTATGAAAGGAGTCTGTGCAAACAATGACATGTTATTTAAGATATGAGTTTGATTGAGAAAACATTTTAAATTGTACAGATTAAATATGAAATTAGATGATGTATATTAATAATATTAGACTATTGATATTAAATTAATATTATACAATTTTATAAAAATTATACCTAACTGATGATCCACAATAATAACATTAATGGGGGACCTATCGGGGAAAAAGTGCAAAAAATATAATCTGTTCTCAAGGTTCTAGTTGGAGACCGTTTCACTGGGATGCGGAAGTAGTGTTTTGATCATGTTCATCAGATTTAAGGTCATCATTAATTTCAAGATAATTATTATGACTACTTGACCGATTAAAATTATTATTTTGATTGATTCAATTATAATTAGAGGTCTTATACTATTTACTGTATAGGATAGATGGTTTATTAGTTAATTAAGGGTTTTAATGCGCATTATTCGGAGAGATATGCAGCAGTGTCTGTATCATTGTTAGGAGGCCTGAAATCTTGGATGTTACAACATCATACTATTTTATTTAAACTATTTTAAAATAAACTTTTTTACACGGTATTATTTCATACTTAATATTTTTGTCAAGGTGAAGAGGAAATTTACATGTTTATGAAGTACAGTATAACCTATTATGATAAAATGTATTATGAAATATAATCTTTAACAATAATGATTAGTTTTTTGTGAACTTTAAATATTCAATGCAAAACATAAGCTTTTACAGGAAATAGTTTTTGAATTCCATTATTTATCATGATACTCAACTAAGATAAATAAATGTGATTAACTCAACAATGGACTTACCACTTGAGATGGTATCATACACATTTTTATTTTATTTCAAATATAATAGATTGTATTATAGTACAGTATGAAGTCATAACCGTTAGGGTTGTAATTCATAAGGATATGGTAATAATAAAACAACAAATTATGAAAATAATTACTATAAATATATATTCCAGGTAGTATAACAAATTACGGCTGTATTATATGAGGATGTTTTCCTTAAGCCGTAGTTTAAATTAAGCATTTTAGTATTTATTTTCTTATATATACATACATATTTATCACATATAAATGTTAACAAAAAATACATACAAGAATAAAATAAAATTAAAACTTTGGATTTAATAAATTATTGTCAATTAGTTTAATTTATAAAGCGTTGATTCAAAGTTTATACCAGACAATATGTTCACCAAAGACCAGACATAGGGACCAAAAAATTCTTCAGGTTTCTCTTCTTCCACATACTTGAATTTAAGATCCGGGAATTTCTAAAAGCATACAATTTGTGTTTTAAATTACTCAGACTAATCACAACAATTGTTATCAACTGAACTTGATTTCATAATATGCAATTAGAAATTGTGATTGACATGTATTTTATTATTAAATATAAGTCAAAAACAAAATTACCCATATGTAATAATAAGAATTATTTTCTTTATATGTATATATAATATTTCAATTGAATAATAGTATTCAAATTAGTGATTATATTTTCAATGATTGGAACTTTTGAAAATAAAACATTAGATGTTAAAATTTAATAATTTTTCTATTTAATGAAACTGCACAAAACTAAATAAAACAAAATATGGTAAACCAATGTACCTTAAATAGCTTTACATACTTTAACATTGTAGTTACAGTTATACGATAATAATAATCCACTAAGGATTTTATCTCATTAAATTTATTATTTATAACACCATAATTTTGTATATTCTTAATACATAAATAGATAATGATTTTTTTTTTTGCATTCAATTTTTTTTATTAGTTATGAAACCAAATATTAATTTTACCAGAAGCAAAAAAAAAAAGAAAAAAATCATTGAAATATGCAAAATAATAATCATCAGCAACATTTAATGAAATATGAAGCATATGTTTCTATTGTAAAACTGTTGAGTTGGTATAGTAAAAAACACCACGAATATACATAAAAAAAATACCATACATTTACATAAATTATCAATTCCTATCACCATACTTTCATAAGGTCTCTAGGCCACTGAAGAGACCAATGCTGCACCCGGGACAACATTGTGGTTACATCAGATGAATTTAACAGTTCTTCCTCACGTTCCAGTTTTGCTGAAAAGAATGTGATAACCATGTCAATGTTCTGAATAACGTCATGGAATGCTTCGTGACTCTTTAGAGGCTCAAAAACTTTGCGTTGGTACAGAAGAGCGTACACCAAATTAGGATTGTGTATGAGTTGATTAGACAAACATGAATTTATAACTTCCAATACTATACGCAAAGCTTCTTCAATGGCACTCATCTGTAAAAATAAATTAGTAAAATATAGCGAATTGTACTAACAAGATTCACACAGGAATTGAGGCCATATTTTTAAAGAATAATATTACTTTAAATTTTGTTTATACCTAGGGTACTCATTTCAACACACAGATTAAATACTTGGGGGTATATTATTGTTATAAATAAATATAATTGAAAAACTGAATCAAAATTATGTATGCAAATAAATAATTTAATCATTAGAATATTGGTTTTTTAAATATAAGCAATTTCAATACCTTCCAATATAATTTTCAAAACCATTTAACGTAAATCAATAATAATTTACACATTATTCATGCTATAAGATACAAATAGTCAATGGATTAGTCCAAGATTCGATTGATGGTGTAATGATATAAAAAATTAATACATATGTTACAATATTATTTTTGTTCATGTCTTATCCAAACATTAAATTAATTTCAGCAAAAAACACATTTCCGACTTCTAAATTAAGTAAAATTAATTATTTTTATTTATATTCAAGGAAATAATAAAATAATGACAGCGCCATTTAACTGTTTAGTTTAAATTATAATTATTAAAATACTATTACTGTTAAGTATTCATTAAAAGAACAATGAATAAAATAAATAAATAAATATTGTTTATATATTTTGTAATATCAACAAACATAAAAGTTACCTCGTCAGTTTACTAATTTTTCTATTTATATTGGTGTATTACATATTTGCCAAAGAAATCTTTACTGACATCTACAACTATAAACATTTTTTCTAATATAACCTTACCTACATCTACCTACACCTTAATTGTCATAGAAGTAAATTTATAGATTATAGATAGAGATACCTTACTTATGGTTTAATTAAAAAAAAAAAAAGAATCATAAGTTAACATGACTTTAATTAAATTACAAAAAAAATAACTCTATGTGATTATTTATAAGATCTTTAAATAAATCAGAAAAAAATTGACTTCTAAAGATGTTTGTTTAATTAAGGATGATAATGTATTTATTATAGAGCAACTCAAGTAGTTATTCTTTTTTTTTTTTTTAGTACCAAATGTATAAACATTATTAAATTACAAAACAATTTAAATATATATACATATATAAATATATATAATTAATTTTTTTTGTTTAATAATACTTGTATTATTATTTTTAGGACATAACATACTCCTGAAATAATTAATTTAAGAATTTTTACTTTGATATACTAAAATAATTGACAGATATACATTTTTTTTTAAAGTTATTAAGTTAAATATTAAATTTAAATGCTTTTGAAATATGTTATTTTTATTGTTACAATAAATAATTATTAAAAATAATTACGTCTTGGTTGGGACATCTTAAAAATGTTTTTGATAGCACCTCATACAAGCTCAACATTCTTTGGCATACATATGGATGTAATTGATTGAACTGTGATGACATGTTTGCCAATGCCGCAAAACAATTTATATGTAGATATTTATCCTATAAACAAAATGTGATAAAATAATTATTGTTAGTAAAACCAGAAAAGGTAACTTACTCTCATTTTAAGTAAATTATATTGTGCTGTTCTTGTAGTGACCAAAATTATAAGACCACCTAAGGAAATTTCGGATACCACTCTTTCTTGATACCAAGTAGCACCTTTCAGTATTATATTATGGACAGTTTTGTTAAAAAGTTGATCTTCAGTCAATATTAACAGTACAATAAGTGCCATGTACATGTGTTGAAATCTACTACTTTGGGTATTATAAATTGTTCTTAAAAGTGGAATTAACTGGAAAATCAAAAGGAAGATATTATTTGTTGGAAGTACAGAATTTAAATATAATTTCTTTTACCACAACTTCGATATCAGTACGAGCCAGAAGAAATGTCTTAAAACCATTGTTACAATGTATCAAATGGTATAACAGCAACGTCTTTTCTTCACTTAACGGAGCTTCCTGATTATCTCCGAGAAATTGATATACGGCAACAAGATTTTCTAGAAATGTCATCAAAAATCAATTTTACAATATATTTTGAATGTTTATTTTTTATTGATATGGAGCAATTAATACCTGAAAATGAGGAAATATATGTACGGTAAGGGTTACCATTTGGAGGTGGTGGTGACGTGCAGTGGTTAATCAATACCAACAATACACTAATTGACAATGAACTTAATGGACTCTGATTTGTTTGATCAGGTGCATTAGAACTCAGGGTTAGTATGTTCCACAAGTTTGCTTAAACATCATACAAAGAAATAAGTAATTTGAATAAATAACTGAAAACATTTTGACTTACAGGCCAATCCATAGAAAATGCCACCTCCATTCACGGGAGGAGGTTTAATTTGCTCAGTATACCTTAGTAGTAATGCTTTGGACAATTTTGGTGAGTCAATATTTTCCATGAATATTCTTAAAATTAAGTCAATGAAAATGATTTTGTCAAAAGATTTGAATAGTCAAAATCAGATTTTAAACTCCAACATACCTGTATGTAATGAGACTACTTGAAGGTTGTATGGTGTACATTTGAATAGACAACATAATTAAAATACAATTTAAACTTTCAATGTGAATTGAATAAGTAGAATTCCTAAGAAAAATGAAAAAACTACATTATTATATGAATGTAAAATAAAAAACAATAAAATCTTTACACATTACAACAGGTAAACTCACATCACTTTTAGTTCAGATACAATTTTAACTAATAACGATAAAAATTTAAATGATGTTGTCTCATTTAAATCTTCTGGAACGGCATACTCCTTTCGATCACCTAATGCAACTTCAATACCATCTGAAATGCAAAAAAAAAAAATTTTTTAAGATAATAATGTAATATAAAGAACAAAATGGTTTAAATAAATTAAAACCACTACTGTAGACCAATAAATTAAGAAAATCTGGACAACAGGTGTTTGATAACAAATAATATAATCTGTTTTTTAGCAAAGATTAAGTAATGTATTGTATAAATTAAAAATAATTTGTTAAAAGTTGTAAGTTTATCTTTGAAAAGTAGGTACATACCTGTTTGTAATTCAAATTGATTGATTAGTTCAATTTCTTTGGAGTTTTGGACAAGATATTTGAGAAAATATCGAGCAATGAACAGCCCATTGAATACTTGCCATCGTAAGATGTTGCTGTTGACAATAATTCAAAAACATTTTACAGGATAGACATAAACATTATTTTAAATGCGGTTCAGATAATGATGAGAGGAGAGTGACCAACGTACTTTTCTTCAGCTTCTAATTTTTCAAAGTCTGCTTTTTCCAACAGCAGCCTGATCAAAGTCTTGAAATTGGACGTGTTCCTGTTGTTGACAACTAACGAATCACATATGCTCTTGAGTCGATCAGTTAGTACCTTGTCGTCTTGGCTACACAACAAACAGGACATCATGACATAAGGATATGTGTAAAAGGTCACACCCTCGGTGTCACGCGCACTCACCTGGACGTCGGAGGGTTCAGCGAGAACGTGAGAAACGTGTCCCAGAAGGGGTCGTCGATGGTGATCTCCAGCTCGCCAGCCAACCGCAGCAGACAATCATTGTCGGCCAGCTCGCCGTGACTGGGTCCGGCGCCCATGACGACGTGTGTCCGCAGGCAGTCCGGCGGGTGGGCAGGTCACACAGCTCCTGCCGCCGGGGACACGGCGACGGGTCCGTTGATCGCAATGGGGCAGGGACGGTGACGAGGATCGCGAACGCGCGCCGAACACCGTGTCGGGAACGTACCGTTGGCTTGACCAGTGGTGGTGGTTGGCGATTCTCGCGGTCACGGCGACGACGATCGTTCTCGCGTCAATATTCCGTTCATCGTAGTCGCAGTAGTCGGTTCGTTATCGCGTTTCGGTGTGCGCAATGGTGCTCATGATATTTTATTTTCGCTCCCCTCCCTCCCCCGCACACCGAATGCTGCGGCTGCGCGCTCTTATCTCGCACGTCACCTTATCAGCTCACGTCTCCCGTTGATAACGGTGACGGCTGTTTTGCCGCGGATCGTGCCACGACGTCAACCGGTCTCGCAATTTTCACGTACGCTCATATCGTTCCTATCAGAGGCTAATAAAAATACTTTTTTGTACTACACACTTAAGAATTTTGTCATTCTCCCTTTTCAAACGTTAACAGTTATGAGTTAAATAGTTGGTATTTTAGATTTTGCTGATGATAGATATGTCTTGGAATTTTAAAAATATGTAAAATAATTTTATGAAAAAATGTAAAATTAAAAAACAAATACCATAACATTGAGAATATAACCACAACACACTTTTTAATTTCGTACTACACACTTAACATTTCGAATTACCAAAATGTGTCGTATTGTACATAATTTTAGTCCCCGGTACCGATCGAACGGTCCTTTCACCGGAGGCGGTTGTTAAGTGTCCCGCTAAAAATATTTTTTTTATACACATTTCGGTCAAACAAATTAAAATCTAGCAGGCATACCAGTACGTTTACGAACATATTTTAGAGATTCGTAGACGACGTTTTAGCGTGAAACGGTTTTAATGTGATTCGAACGAAGCCAGAACAATTTTTTCGGCATGACTTAGGCGGTTTAAATCAATCTGCCCCTTCGTTTTTCAGTCGAACCGGATTATGATAGTGGAGATATTGGGTTTTAAAGAAATTATGACTCATAATTTTTTTCGTAAAACGATTCCGAGCAAATCTTCAGTACGATAATATACTGTTTTTATATTTAACCATTTTTAATCTAATTGCCGGTAGGTTTTTAAAATTTTCTTGTTTGTCGAAAGAGACATTTTTTTTAACCAAATATTTCAAACATGTTCTATCCAAAGTTTCATTATGATTGGATAAACTCATTTTTTTTAATAAACATTTAAAGTTAAAAAAGTGTGTAAAAACAGTAAATTACGTAAAAATCGAATGATAATAACTATAATACTAATAACGAATTTTAAAATTTTTTAGTGTTGTTAGGTAAGCATATGATTACGGTGGTATTAAATTACCACGTCGTAATATTCAAAAATAAAAATGTTATTACATATAAACTTCCAAAAAATTAGGTATTTTCAAAGTTCTATATTTAAATCAAAAATGTTTAATTTTTTTTTTTTTTGAAAATGTCAAATATGAAAAAATATATATTTGATGTAGAGTATAATTTCAAGTTTCTAGGAACATTTTTATTGGAGTTATATCTAAATGACAAAACTCTGAAAAGTGAGTCTCGTTTACAGTGCATTTTTACCGTTTTTACTCGATTTTTTGGCAATTTTTTCTTACACCTGGAAAAACTATTGACATTTAGGAAAAATTACTTCTCTATTATACCACGTCAGGCCAATTTTGAATCTTAAAAATTGCTTATGGACTAGTATTTCTACTTGAAAAAGTCTTTAGGAAAAAAACCATAAAATACTTTATTCATAGTCTAAAATTGTGAATATGTACGTTACAATAAGTATGTAAAATTTAATTTTTATTAAAATACAAATATAAAATCTTCTTGGGGGTTTAATAAATAATATACTTATATTATTATCTAGTTTGATATTTTGATCGGGTTTAACTAATGTTGCTCTTCAGGCATATTGTAAATTAGCAAGCCTGGGCATTAACGAGTTAATAAGTTAAAAGTTAAGTTAATTTAACTTATTAACTTAACTTATTTTATCACTGAAAAATTAACATAACTTATTAACTCAACTCATTTCCTTACAAATTAACTCGAATTTAACGTATTATTTTTTTCATTTATCCCAATTAAGTTAATTTTGATTTTCAAGACCAGAAAAAATATTTTTTTAAAATACCGCATTCAATAACAAGTTCATGGAATTTAGAAAAATATAAAAATAAAAATTTCGAAGAATTTTTAAATGAAACCATTAAATTTATCTCGATATTAACTATTAATAGGGGTACCACCAGTTTCAGGAAAAGTACTCAACCGTCTTCAGGACTATTGAGTAAAAATAGCCATGCTACCCATGAATTGCATTACCATTGTCATGAAAAGTGGCAGTAAATCTATATTACAAAAATAAGTACATATTATCATTGTCTAAATAATTCTTAATAATAATTGTAATCATTTATTGTTAGAATTATTCCATAATCTATGATATTATTAAATATTATTGAATAAGAGAAGAAATTTGTTGGAAAATACAAAATCAATGTATGAGTGGGTAATGAACGGTAGGTACGTAAAAAAACATGATTCCCACTATAGTCAGACATATACCTGACAAATACCGTTCCGTACCGTTACCAATACCTTTTTGAGCTACTCGATTCCGTATGATTTTATCTGATGTTTAACTACACGATTGCATACTAAGTTTTAAGCGTTGATGCCAATTCTTACACCGGTATTGGTGTATACCTACCGTGACCATAATTTTTTTTCTTCAAAGCGGGACACCTGTACATTTTAATAAGAAAACCATAACATTTTTTTTTATTGAAAAAAAACATTAATTATTTATAAAAAAATTACAATAGAAAAACGCAGCTAATATAATATTAATCTTAATATTATCCTAATAATAACAATAATAAATAATAATATAATAATAGAGTACATTATTCGGTTGATTTTCTATATTTGTCGGATCCACAAATCTGCTTTAAAGTAGCCGGTTTGGTTTTTATGTATGAATGGAACTCTTGACATAATTTGTTTAGGTAGCACGTCAATTCATCGCGCGTCTTTTTATCGTGGTAAATTTATTGTTCGGTCAACTTATCGCGACGTCAATTCATCGTGCGTTAATCCACCTCACATATATATTTTTAAATCAACTACGGCCTATCGCAATTGTTGCTTATCTATGTAGCTTCAATTAACGATAACGAGGTAACTAAGCCGGTTGATCTGTAATGTAATTTTTTCAATTTTTTTTTCAGTTCTATACAGTATTTTATGAATTATATATTATTATGTTATTTTACTAATATTTGTACCAAGAAACATTTTTTAATTAAGCACGTATTTCGAATCATTATATTCTAGTTTGTGACATAATTATAATACGAGTATAGTAATATTATAAATATCGAGTAGATTTTACTAAAAAAAAAAAAAAAAATTTAATTAAATCTTCAAATAAAATAAAATTCAGAAATGTATACATATCTAGAAAAATATAAATTTAGCAACATAGCGTACAGGAAAATTCACAATTGTTCGTTTTTTGGCTAAAAAAAATTCTTTGATAAGCAACAGTCGTTCGCAATCGTGTTATAAAAAAGGTAAAACGTTCGAAATCGTTCGCTACCCTTACGTTTAGATACGATCGATACGTGTGATCAATGCCAAAATCAGAACGGTGCGTGAGAGACGTCAAAATTAGATTATTTACTATAGATATATATAAAAAAAACAATTCTGTGCAGGCACAGGTCGTAGAAGTGAAACTTCCGCGATAATAGTCGTGGTGGTATCAAACTATTAATGTACAATTTGTGGCACTACTTGTTTATTATTGAGGAAAGCTTCATCAACGGTTATTCCGTACATACGATAAATTGGAGATGGTAAAAGATAAAGCAGTCAAGCTTTTATTGTACTTTTATTGACTATTCCGTGTAGATAGCTTGTTCGATAAATTTTTCTGCGCTTGATATGTACATTTATGCAGTGGTCATCATCGATGTGTCGTGGAAGATTTTTAATCATGGTGTCCACACTAACCGGCACATTGATAATCTGGCCATATATACCGTATTGACTATTAACATGATGCACTACCCTGATTTGCATATAGGGAATACGAGGCGAGATCAAGCTTTCTGATATTATATCCAGTGGCGGCAGATGATCCGGAATGTAAGGAACTTTAAATCCATTATATACTGACATGCTTGGAATTTTATTTTTACTCAATGTAAAAATAAAATACGTATTAAAAATAAATACGTCCATGTGAACCTAGCCTTATCCCTTTTATTACCTATATTTGTTGTGAATGATATCAAATATATCAGATACAACGAAATGTCGTTATTTCTATGGTATTTTCCGAGTTTCAGTAAAAGTAGTAGGTTATAGATGTCAGGGAATCCAAATTTAAGCATTTTCAAATAATTTATTTATAATAATTTCATTAAAATAAAAACTATCGATTTTATTTATTTATCAATTACTTTTATTTAGTTATCCTAATTTTATTTATTATTTTATTATTAATTTTTTTTATGAATTATTATAGAACTGTATTAATTACTGTACTAACTATTTAACTGTAAACTGTATTAAACTGTAATTAAAATGTAATTAAACTGTATTCTATTTATATTTATACGGTGGAATTAGTAATTTTGATAATGTTTCATATAATTTCATACGTAATCGTGTTCTATCCCATAGGTACTAGTACTTCGTCCACTCTAACATCTAATATTATGCACTGTCCCGTATAATATGTTAAATATTAGTGTACACCCATCCAGTGACGGTTTTGATAAAACATCAAGGGAGGGCTATTTTATATTTGTTGCCCCCCCTCCCCCATAATTACATATATCATATATCAATAAAGAATACAATTTGTTTATGATTTTATTATAAATTACATAACTTTCATATTTTTATTTCATAATTTAAATAGTTTAATTTTATTGGAATATAAAATATAATAAAAAGTCCATAAATTTGACTATAATTTAAAAAAAACCCAATTAAACCAAATAGCTTAATCTTCTTAATTCTAGCCGCAGTTCTGTATTTTTTGATAACATATATTCATCTATTGTTATCAACTCAATGTTTCATGCTGATTAAAAACAAAGAAAGTTTGAACATATATTGTGAAAATAATACGACGTATAAAATATAACAGTTTACATTAAAGGGGCGAGCTCCTCATTCACCCTCCTAAAAACCACCATTGCACATATCCC